ATATCATAGTTAAAACTGAGCAATACTAGAATATTGGGTTTTTCCCAAATATACCGGTCATTTGGTTTTCAGAGCCTTCCTTAAGAAAATGAATGAGGAATGTTAATACATGGTGATTTCATCTTAGAAATCAAGCATGGTCAGGTTAACAACAAGCAGAAAATGCAGATCTACCAAAACCTTCCAACTAACATTTTTGAGAATAACAAGGCATGCTATTTTGATTTTATCTTTTCTTGTTTATTTTACTTAATTTGCTGGATGAAATTGATTTTTTTTCTTTGAAAGAGAGTCTTTGGTATATCTGATCTGGCTGTTATGGTCCGTACACTTTTTATAAATTACCCTTAGTCCATTTCAGTAAAACGTGGAATCAATATTCTCATTGTTGGATTTGGAAAGAGAAATTGTTATCGTCTTCTGAAAGAATTACATGGTGGATGCTTAAAATTGACAGCAAATCTTACTTAGGGTTTGCTGTGTATTAACAAAATTTATGTCAGGATTTACTCATATTTCCCAATCAGCCATAGTTGTGTTGTTGTGAGTTTTCTGGGCTGTATGGCTATGTTCCAGAAGCATTCTTTCCTGACTTTTCACATGCATCTATGGCAGGCATCCTCAGAGGTTGTGATGTCTGTTGGAAACTAGGAAAATGGGTTTTATATATATGTGTAATGTCCAGAGTGGGAGAAAGAACTCTTGTCTGTTTGAGGCAAGTGTGAATGTTGCAATTGGCCACTTTGATTAGCATTTAATGGCCTAGCATTAAATTTCAAAGTTTGAAATTTAAAGTTTCAAAGTTTGGCTTCTTACTGCCTGGGGGAATCCTTTGTTGGGAGGTGATTAGCTGGCCCGGATTGTTACTTTTCTGGAATTCCTCTGGGTTTTTTGTGTTGTTCTTTATTTACTGTCCTGATTTTAGTGTTTTTTAATACTGGTAGCCAGGTTTTGTTCATTTTCATGGTTTCTTCCTTTCTGTTGGTACCTCAGAGGTAATGACCTCATTACCTCTGAGGATGCTTGCCATAGATTCAGGCGAAACGTCAGGAGAAAAATTGCCTCCAGAACATGGCCATATAGCCCGGAAAAACCTACAACAACCCATGTATGGCCATTGTTGATCTGGTTTGCGGATGACTAGGTCATCTAGAAATGGCAGTTTTCCTTCATTTTCTTTTTCCATAATGAATTGGTTGTTTGGGTGGATGCTGTTGAGGTGATTCAGGAACGTGTTTAGTTCTTCTCCTCCATGGCTCCAAGTGGTGAAGATGTCATTCACATATCTGAACCATATAGTGGATTTTTTTGTTGCTGTTTCCAGGGCTTGTTTTTCAAAATGTTTGATGTAGAAATTTGCTATGACTGGGCTGAGAAGGATCTCCATGGCTACTCCATCTTTCTGTTCATAGAATTCATTGTCCCACTCGAAGTAGCTTGTGGTGAGGCAATGGTGAAACAGGGCTGTAATGTCTTCTGGTGTGATGATGCCTGCTACTGAAGCCTTGGTAAGTAATAGAGACACCACATCATTTTGTCATTGGTGTTGAGCTTGAGGCTGCTGATTTTTTCTATGAAGTGGGATGAATTCTTGATGTAGTGCGTAGTGAGCCCAATATGCGTTTGTAACTTGTGGCCAAAATTTTTGCCAAATCACATGTGGGGGATCCAATGGCACTCACGATGGGTCTGAGTAAGGTGGAGTCCTTATGGATTTTTGGGAGTCCATAAAACCTAGGTGGAAGGGCTTTGGATTTGCACAGCTGTTGACGTAGGTCAAAGTAGATTGAGGAGTTCTTTATCAGAGTATTAGTTTTTCTGGTTATTTGGTTGGTTGGGCCTTGCTTTAGTTTTTTGTGTATTGTGGGATCCAGGAGTAGTTGTGTCATGACTACACTGTTAATTTATATGTTTCTAGACATTTCTTTTAGTAGAAGTCTTGGGAAGAGCAATGCGCTTATGGTTCCCTGATCTCAGGACCTAGATCATCATTTCTCAGGGAATATGAAAGAAATACAGAGAAAAGGATATAATTTTATATATTTCCTTATTACTTACACTTGGAGAGTTTTTAGCCTTTTTTAATGCTCATGCCTTGGGATAAGACTTGACCTGGTAACCTTATTATAGCCAGCTACCCACAGAGAGTGAAATAATAATATATGAGCTATCTATCTATTTATCCTCATGTACGTAGCATTCTGCAGGTGATTTCCCTTCTAAATTTACAATAAGGTGATATTAATTAAGGCCCAACTTTCAAACATACAGTAAATATTACTGAAGTTATATGTGTGAGGCACTCTGAGTACTCTCTACACACAGTGATGATTAGGAAAACTGTTCCAGATGCCAAAGCCCCAAAAGTTTTGGCAGACAACAGACTACATTCATTGTGCCAGAATGTTTTGGCACAAATCCTATTCATCTCTAATTTTCACCCATTAATTTTATTGGTATCTCTTTTCCTGGCAGAGTCAACAGAGAAGAGGATAGTTCTCTGAGATGTGCACTGTGCAAAAGCTGAGCAAAGCATTTCAGTCTTATTTCATCAGTCCCACTTTCCAAGAAACCGTTTGCTTAGAAAACCATACTGTGGAGGAGGTCAGCCTGGCTGTGGAAAAGACAATGTTGTACCCCCTGATGAGGATCTCCAGGGATAGGATTTTTTGTTTACTTTTGGCTAAAAAACCACTGAATCACTGATGTTGACAAACCCACATGTAATTTTAGCCAAGTATTAGAGTGCAAGCCAAGCTGTATACTTGGTGGATTGCTGGACTATCATGAGCAATGCACATTCAAGTGTAGAACAAAATGTACCTTTAATGAGCTGTTGCAACCTTTTCAGTCTATGGAATGACATTGGCAAAGGCATTAGGAAGAACTTTCTGATGGTGAGAGCTTTTCAGCAGTACAGAATATTCTCTTTCTTTAGAGGTCTTTGCAAACAGTCTAATGTCAATCTTCAAGACAGCTTTAGTTGTGTATTTCTTCATGGCAGGGATTTGGATAAGATTACACTTTCTATCCCTTCTTGCTCTGGAATCTGTAGACAACCCTTTAAAAGCAATTAGTTACAGTTCCAGTCCACAGGTCTTCTCCAATTAAATTATTATGATGCTTACAGATTTTAAGAATATTTTCTTTTTTGATGATCAAAATTAACTAGCATTGATCCTTTCTTCATAGAACTACGAGAACAATTCAAGTGGCATAAAATATAACAAAAATACACTTTAAATCCGGTTGCTGCCTCCTGAAGAATTCTAGAGTTTGCAGTTTAGGGAGGAGCCTTTAACAGCCTCACTAAACCACACACCCAAGAATTCTGAAGGAGGCAGAAACTGGATTTAAAGTGGTTTCATTCTCTAGTATGATTAAGTAGGTCAAACATCCTGTAATGCTCTTAGTGGTAGTAACAGCCCTGTTGTAGAAGGAACTCCTTGACTTAAGAAGCTACATAACCTCCTAGAAAGACATATGTGGCTAGACCTCCCACACTGTGGAGCATGAGACCCACAATATCCTCTGGCCCAGTATCCTTGGACCCCAGAGACCCTTGGAGTCCTGTCTAAATAAAAAAAGTTGAATTTTAAGATTCTTTTCAGAATCAACAGTGACAAGGAAATTGTCAAAAGGAGTTGCAAGATATTTGTGAATAGATTGAGGAATGGGGTGGTGATGGAAGTTAAAACAAAATTGCTACTGGTTATTTGGAATCTCTGCTCCGATTCATAGATAACATTGTCCTAAGATGCATCAAAATGATTTCTTCTACAAAAAATAATGTAGGCCTTACCTGTCTTTTACATTTCTGGCTATTTGGATTATAATCAAATATAATCAGATATGGTTGTATGGGATGTGTACATGGATAAAAACCTTGATCCATTGCACATTGAGGCTGTGGCACATTACTTATCTACTGGCTACCATTATAAAACTAATGGCCATATCTTACAGTGTCATGACAACCTCTAGGCCAGTGGTTCCCAACCCTTTTTTGACCAGAGATCACTTGACCAGGGACCACTTGAACATGGGCCACTTTGACCAGGGACCATTCTCTAATATTAGTACCAAAAGGGTTACAAATCAGTTTTTAGTCAACTTTAGAATCAGTTTGGTTATTTGGGTTGCTGATTCATAAAATTGCATTGGGTAGACCACATTTATTTATTTATTTACTACATTTATATGTCGCCCTTCACACCACAGACCACAGGTTGGGAACCACTGCTCTAGGTGAATATGGGAAATGTGAAACTTCCAAGTTCTATTTCTAAAAAAACTGTATTACCATGCTGAATTCATGTCATTGCTTCCAAAGTTCATGTCGTGTGGTTTATGGTAGCTATAACCCAACTACATTACACCTTTATTTGTTTAATGTATATGTCTTGTTTTTCCCAAGGTGGGAACAAGCTACAATTAAAAACTAATGGCAAAGCATGTTTTAAAAACCAGTACTTAAACTATCATATTTAATCACAACTTATTTAAAACAGTATTGTTCTTGGATGGTGATGACACTTTGAATCATTGACTTTGCTCCACTTACTGGCATTAATACCAGATTTCCATGGTAATCATGGAAAAAGCTTGCTGTGAACTTCAGAGTCTTCAGCGGGCATTGATTCTTGTGGCATGTGTTTTGTGTTCATCACCCTGCAGAGACTATTCCCTTTAGGAAAAGTAATGGCAGTATATTGATTTGAAATTGATTGTTTCAGGTTGATTCAGCATTATCCAGTAAATTTTGCAAGATCGTAAGAAGAGCACCTGGCAAGGAACTATGTGAGGTAGAATGGAGAGTAGATTACAGGTGCGAGGCAGGACAAAGCATGACTGATTATCCTTCAAAACAACCTGACTGTAGATGCATTTGGAATAAATGTTGAATATTTGTGAGTCTTTAGGGAGATCCTTTCCAAAATGTCTTTCACTTGCCAAATATGATGGAGTTACACCTAACTCTCTGGTTTCCTGCTCTCTAGGGTAGAAGATGTTGTTGAAACAGAATCTCCTTCACAGCTGGATGATTTAAAATCAATTATGAGTGGGAATGAAGAGGATGAAAAGCTTCAAGTCAAAATACAAGCTTTTGAAGAGAAAATAAACACTGAGAACAGCACTCCTGGCTCTGTGCGCAGGTATAGTTTAGGCCAGGTTTCTAAAGAAGAAAGAAAGGACATCAGGTTTAACAGGTGAGTTGCAATGAAACATCCCATGCTGATTGGTATTCCTGTTCAGATGTATAAAAACATTCGTTTTAACAGCATAGAATCTATAGGCCCGAGACATTTAATTGTGTTTAGGCATCTTGTCCAAGAGCTAGATAAAATCTGTATGAATTATTTCTTTTACTTATCCTGTGTTCCAGAGAACAGAGGGAAGTTCATAAGAAGCATTGAAGCACTGGATCTGAATCTGTCCAAAAAGCAAAGGTTTCTATTCATATGTATAACTTGAGTGCCACTTTGGGAATTTTTAGACACAGTGAATCAATACATGATGAATTGTAGTATTAGAAAAGAGCCTCCCTTTCAGTGCTTCTTGAGCTGGATGAGGGCAAACAAGCTGAAACTTAATTCTGACAAGACAGAGGTCCTCCAGGCCAGTCGCTCGGTTGATCAGGGAATAGGGTGGCAACCTGTGCTCAATGGGGTAACACTCCCCTGAGTTCACAGGTCCACAGTCTGGGCTCAGTGCTGGTGCTTGATGCCCAGGTGTCGGTGGTGATTGGGAGGGCCTTTGCACAGTTAAAGCTTGTGCGACAGCTGCAACTGTACCTCGAGAAGTCTGACTTGACCATGGTGGTCCATGCCTTAGTTACCTCTAGGTTGATTTATTGCAATGCACTCTATGTGATGCTGCCCATGAAGATGGCTCGGAAAATGCAGTTGGTGTAGAAATCAGTGGCCAGGTTGGTAACAGGAGCAAATTAGGAGCGGTCAACCCCCCTGTTCAAACAGCTCCACTGGCTACCAATAACTTTGGGGTCCCAATTAAAGGTGCAGGTTATTACCTATAAAGCCCTAAATGGTTTAAGATCTGCCTATCTTTGTGACTGCATCTTCGCCTATAAACCAACACGATCTTCTGGGGAGGCTCTTCTCTCGTTCCCGCCCCCGTCTCAGGCACAGTCGGTGGGGACAAGAGAGAGGGCCTTCTCGGTGGTGCCCCCCCCCCGGCTCTGGAACTCCCTCTCCAGGGACTAGCACCCTCTTGGCATGTTTCTCTTCCATTTATGCCTCTTCAAATTCTGCAGCACTGCTGGTCACAGCTAAGCTCCAGTTAGAGCACTCAAGGGCCAGGGTTTCCCAGTTCTCAATTTCTATGCCACAGTATTTAAGGTTGGCTTTAAGCCCATCTTTAAATCTCTTTTTCTGTCCACCAACATTACGTTTCCTATTCTTGAGTTGATAGTAATTGCTTTGGGAGACGGTGATCAGATATTTGACAACATGGCCAGTCCAGCGGAGTTGATAGCCTAGGAGCATTGCTTCGATGTTGGTGGTCTTTGCTTCTTCCAGCATGCTGACATTTGTCTGCCTGCCTTCCCAAGAGATTTGCAGGATTTTTTCAGAGGCAACGCTGATGGAATTGTTCCAGGAGTTGAGTGTGACATCTGTAGACAGCCCATGTTTTGCAGGCATATATCAGGGTTGGGAGAACAGTAGCTTTATAAACAAGCACCTTGGTATCCCTAAGGATTATCCCGATCCTCAAACTCTGTTTCATTTGGAAAAATGCTATTCTCGCAGAGCTCAGGCAGTGTTTTATTTCAGTGTCAATGTTAACTTTTGTGGAGAGGTGGCTGCCAGGGTAGTGGAAATGGTCAACATTTTCTATGTAACACCATTAAGCTGTATTTCTGCAAAGGGATTGGCTTATGACTGCTGGAAAAGCACTTTGGTTTTCTCGATGTTCAATGAGAGGCTGAGCTTCTTTTATGCTTCTGTGAAGGTGTTTAGAGTGGCTTGTAGTTCTTCTGAATGCGCACAGACTATGCTGAGTTCTGAGACTAAAGTCTGGCTCTACAGTTATTTCACCACCATCTTAGTTGCTATCCCAAATACATCATAATCTATTTTGCCTCTGCCCCAAGCCATTTCCCCATGCCTTTGTTTGCACCGCAGGTCCAAAAGTCTAGCTTTGCATGCTATTCGTATGAAGGGTGTTCATTCGGACAACGGACAAGAGATGGAGAATGGAGATGTTACAGCCGGCATCTCTTTCACAGATATCTATATGAGCCAAGAAGCCGACAAATTGCCTTCCAGCCCAGACACTGAAGAGTCACAGCTGGAACAATCCTCGCTTTCACACCCAAGTATCAAATGTACAGAACCAGAGAATCTGCCAGAACCTGTTAAAGAAAATGGCCATGAAGGGAGCCCGAAGACAATAAAGAATGCTGTGGAGTATCAAGATAAGCTTTACTTTCACTTAAAGGAAAATCTGTCCAAAGTGAAAGCATATGTGATGGAGATGGGGAAGAGAATTCCTCTCCCAGATGAATGTATTATAGAAGGTAAGAGGCCTGAAATTCTGAAACAATGGGATTGTTTAAACATAATTTAGAACTCTCATCCAAGGTGTCAGCCAGCCTCCTCCAAGATAGCTAGGCTAGCTGAAATATGTTTTAACATCATGACGTCATATTAAAATACTGTGCCTTTGAGATTCTTTCTTGCTGCTGTGTTGTTTCCATCCTGGAGTGTGTTTAATCCCTTAGAAAGCCCATTAGTGAGCTGTCCTTGCCTGCTTGGAAGTAATCATAGCATGAGCTAACTGTGCTCAGAGGACCTATTGCTAGAAACCTTTCCCATGTGCCTTGGGGTGCATTAAACTAGGCCTGGGGCCAAGCAGTTTATAATGTTTTTATTTATTAAAGCACTTCTATCTCAACTCTAATCACAGGATAAGGTTTACATACAATAGAATGATTTTAAACATTTCTGGCTTAAAAACATAAATACTTTGGACAAGGTAAAAACATACTAAATATAGTTATAGTTAAAACCACTTTAAAAACAATGATGAAAACATGTGTACATGTACACATAAAATGCAACAGTCCATGAACCTCTGTATTGTCAAAGGCTTTCATGGCTGGAATCACTGAGTTGTTGTAGGTTGTTGCCATATGGATGCCTGAGGATGCCTGCTATAGATGCAGGCGAAACGTCAGGAGAGAATGCTTCTAGAACATGGCCATACAGCCCAAAAAACCTACAACAACCCAGTCCCTGAAACATTTAATAAAAAGCCTTGTTTTAGCTTGGTGTCAGAAAGAGACCAAAGTTGGCTCCAGCTGGGACTCCAAAGGAAAAAACTTTGACCATCGGGATTCCACAGCCTTGCACACGTCTTCCCATTTCATACTAACCCAGCTGTTGAGAGAGATGGCTTCTTCTGAAGATCTTTGTCCCCAGGAAGGTATACACAGAAGAGTTAATCCTATAGACAAAGTTATTTTCAGAGAGCTTATCTGAAACAACCAAGTTTTGCTTCTGGCTTCTGGCCAACTAAGTTTTGCAGGTTTTACTATTGTTCCAGAAACTACAATATCTGTTTGGCAACTGCAGGCCAAAAGAAATATGTATGTAGTTGTTATTTATTATTATGTATTATTATTTACTATATATCCCACCTTTTTCTATCCTGGAGGGGACTCAAGGCAGCTTACAGATAGGCAATAATTTAATGCCTTAACAACAATATACAGTTAAAATGTATTGAATTAAAATTAAAATCAAAATTTAATACATTAAAACATTATAGAACATTACTATCACTATAAAACCACTCAATCTGCAATCATAATCCAGGATATTTATTTATTTACCGTGTCAGGAGCAGACCAAACAGTTGTACTGCATTTTTTTTAACAATCAAACAAAACACAAGGTTTGTAAGCTTGGGAGTTGATTAAATGTCCTTTGACCAGTAGCTGGCCACTTGGAGTGCTTCCAGTGTTGCTGCAAAAAGGTCCTCCATTGTGCATGTGGCGGGGCTCAGGTTGCATTGCAGCAGGTGGTCTGTAGTTTGCTCTTCTCCACACTCGGATGTCGTGGATTCCACTTTGTCACTTTGTCCAGGTCATTCCAGTAGTCATTGCACATAGTTCCAGTTAATCTAATTGCACTATGGTTCTTCTCTGAAGGCTTGCCCAAGAGCCACATTTTCACTCTTTTTCTGAAGGTCAGGAGGGAGGGGGCTGATCTGCCATTGCTGAGGGAGTTCCACAGCCACCACCAAGAAGACCCTGTCTCTTGGACCCTGTCTCTTGCAAAGGAGGTGGGACCAAGAGTAGGGGCCTCCCTGGATGATCTTAATCTCTGAGATGGTTCATAGGGGGAGGTCCGTTCGGATAGGTAAGTTGGGCCAAAATCGTTTAGAGCTTTATAGGCTAAAACCAGCACTTTGAATTGTGCTTAGTAGTAGGTGTTCACTATGGGAAGCCAATGGCCCCTCAAAACACTTTAAGCAGTTTTCAAACCTGTTGCCGTCAGCAACTTAGAACATTATATATATTCGGTATCTATTGATCCACTCACATTTTCATGTTTTCAAATTGCTAGCTTGGCAGGAGCTGGGCCTAACAGCGGGAGCTCACCCCATCCTGTGGATTCAAACTGCCAGTCTTCAGGTCAGCAAGTTCAGTGGCCACCGCGGCCCCTAAAAATGGGGACAGGGACCAAGAAAACTGTATGGCATTGCGTAGCTCAGCAGATAATTACTCAGATCTCTATAGGCAACTTGTCCAATCATTATTCAGATATTTTAGTGCCTTTGTTCACCATTGACTTTGGATGGTATCAGACCTATGTAAGAAAGTTATTTCTTTTTTAAAAGTAATTGTAGTTTAATAATTGGCATGAGTCTTGAACCCATGATGCTGGTACCACATCAAACATCTATTATTTATTTATTTATAGTATTTATATTCCACCCTTCACACCCCGCAGGGGACTCAGGGTGGATTACACTGCACATATACATGGTAAACATTCAATGCCATTTAGACATACAACATATATAGACAAACATAGAGGCAATTTAACACTCCAGCTTTTCCAGCTTCATGAGGGTATTCTTGGTTCCAGCCACAGGGGGAGCTGCTGCTTCATCATCCACTTGTGACACTGGGTCCTTTGTTGGAGTACTTCCTCATTCTTCTGCATGCTCCTGGAAGGTTTTATGGTGTTGTAGATTAGTTAAATTAGCCTCCCTGCATAAAGCGCTACCTAAATTTCCTACTTGACAGATGCAACTGTCTTTTGGGCTGCATAGGTTGACAACAACCTAGACCAGGGGTCCTCAAAGTATGGCCCAGGGGCTGGATGCAGCCCTTCAAGGTCATTTACCTGGCCCTCGCTCAGGGTCAACCTAAGTCTATAACGACTCAAAAGCACACAACAACAACAACAATCCTATCTCATCAGCCAAAAGCAAGCCCACACTTCCCATTGAAATACTAATAAGTTTATATTTGTTAAGATTGTTTTTCATTTTAATTATTGTATTGTTTTTAATTTTTTGCACAACAAATAAGATAGGTGCAGTGTGCATAGGAATTCTTTCATGTATTTTTTCAAATTATAATCCGGCCTTCCAACAGTTTGAGGCACTGTGGCCTGGCTCTCTGTTTAAACAGTTTGAGGTCCCCTGACCTAGACTATTAATGATTGGGAGCTTACTCTGACCTGGGCTGGCTTCGAACTCGTGGCCTCTTGGTCAGTAGTGATTTAATACAGCTGGCTACCAACTAGCTGCATCATGGCCTGCATTGGATGTTTTTGGAAGGCATCAACCATCATTCTTATTTTTAAATGTAACTGTTTGATTTCTGAAGTGATTGTCACTTGATCATCAAAGTTCAGGCCATAAGATTAACTATGCAAAAAGACCAGACCTACGGCTGATGGAAATTGCAGTCCAACAACATTTGGAAAGCAACAAGCAGCTCACATTGACATAGGGAATATACCCATTGATGGGTATGAGCAAATCCACCATAATAACCTTTTCCATACTCAGTCTCTCCCCCCCCCCCCCCCCCCCCCCCCGAATTGCTACAATAACCCGCAATGCCTAATATGGTAGTCTTTTAACCATGTCATTATTGCAGAATTCACTCTTATGTTACAATTTCCTGAAAATTCCTTAGGTAAGATTCTTGAGATAAAATCCCCAAAGTAAAGACACATGGTAAGATTGATGTTACTCATTCTAGATATATTCACAGAAATGCACTCATTCATTACACATGGGACACTTAGTTAATATTTCAGATACTCCATAAACCACTTGTCCCGATGTCTGGCAAGAATCTGACCTCCTATCATTTTTCCATACGTTTTTCCTCATCTTTAAGAAACTGTTCATAAGTTATTGCCTTAAGTATACAACAGCCTAGGGTTGCAGAGATTTTATTAATAATAAGGTGAGGATTCCAGTGTAAGAGGATCTCAAGGTCAAGCCTCAGGCTGAATTAGAAATGAATGGTACATTGCAACATGGTTTTATTGTAATACACAAATACAGAATACAAGAAGTTCTGAAAAATGACTGTAGCAGGTCATGCAAGAGCGAACTATAATACTGGAAAAGAGAGGGTTTACCAAAATGATCCAGGAGCTGGAATATGAAGAAAGGTTGCAATGTTTGGGCTGTTTAGAGCAGAAGGAAGGCAAGTAAGGAAAGATGTGTGAGAGAGATATACAATAATGCATGACATAGAGAAATTCAGTAGTGTGGGGCTTTTCTCATACTTTGTGGACCTGAGGACATTAGCTAATGGTGGAAAATTCAAGATCTATAAAAGAAAGTATTTCATCAAGCATATAGCTGAAGTTTAAATTTCTTTCATTGATGGCTGGCTTTATAGTTGATGGAAACATTTATGGAAAATAAGCTATAATATAGAATCACAGGATCATAGAGTTGGAAGAGACTTCATGGGCCATCCAGTCCAACCACCTACCAAGAAACAGGAAATTTGTATTCAAAGCACCCCTGGCAGATGGCCATCCAGCCTTTGCTTAACAGCCTCCAAAGAAGGAGTTTCCATCACACTCTGGAGCAGAGAGCTCCACTGCTGAACAGCTTTCACAGTCAGGAAGTAAGAAGCCCCCAGTGGCGCAGTGGGTTAAACCCCTGTGCCAGCAGGACTGAAGACCGACAGGTCGCAGGTTCGAATCCAGTGAGAGGCAGATGAGTTCCCTCTATTGACTCCAGCTCCTCATGCGGGGACATGAGAGAAGCCTCCCACAAGGATGATAAAAACATCAAAATCATCCGGGCATCCCCTTGGCAACGTCCTTGCAGACGGCCAATTCTCTCACACCAGGTCACTCCTGACACGACAAAAAAAAAAGTCAGGAGGTTCTTCCTAATGTTCAGGTGGAATTTCCTTTCTTGTAGTTTGACGACACTGCTGATTAAGCCAGACTTAATTGGACTTAGTTCATGATGGACCCTGAAGTTATCAACATCCCTACTAAAAATGGCATTAGGCATCATTGG